TGCTGGTATTACTCACTAAAATAAATGTAAATATATCCTGAACTAAAACATTAGAAAACCAAATGCTCATTGTAAAAAAGAGAAAAATGAATCATGACCGGGGGGGGGGGTGCAAAGTTGAGTCAACGTGAGAGGATCTATTAATATAATTCACCATATTCATGGACTACAGAGGAAAACAACTAAATAATTATTTTTATACAGACAGAAATAACAAATGATAAAAGTCAGCAATGGCTCAAGCCAAATTTCTTAGCTAAAGACGGATAACTTTTTGAGCCCACTCAAAAGTAGCACCATAAGAAAGGAAACAAAATAGGACAAAAATCCTACCACAAATAGATTACTCAATGATGAAATGTTCAAAGCATTAGTACCTTTAAAATCAGGAACAAGGCAAGGATGCAACTTCCACCAATTCCATACAATTTGGTGTTCTCGTAAGTAATAAGGCAAATACACACAGTCCTACACACACACACACACACACACACACACACGCACGCACGCACACACACATTGTATAAGAATTAGAAAAAACTGGGTCGCCTGGGTGGCTCGTTCGGTTAAGCCACTAACTCTTGATTTGGGCTCAGGTCATGATCTCACAGTTTGTGGGCTCGAGCCCCACTTTGGACTCTGCGCCGACAGTGCGGAGCCTGCTTGGGATTCTTTCTCTCTCCCTCTCTCTCTGTCCCTCCTCCACTTGTGCTCTCTTTCTCTCAAAATAAATAAACTTAAAAAAATTTTTTTAAAGAGTTAGAAAAAAACAATCATTTATAGATTAACATAGCAGTTTACATAGCAAATTCAAAACAATCTATGAAATTGTTAGAATTAATAAAAGAATTTAGGTTGCCAGACTTAAGACTAACATCCAGAAATCAATTTTATTTCTATACATAGATACCAACATTTCTAAAATGCCACTCAAAAGTATAAGTAATATTTATAATAACAATAAAATATAAGGGATCCAGACAATAAATCCAATAAAAATTTTTGTAAGAACTTTATGTAGAAAAATATAAAACTTTATTGAAAGACATTAAAGAAACCCTAAATAACTAGAGAGACATACTATGTTCATTAAATGAGAGTCCCATTTTTCACGAGATCGATCCTTAAGTTGATGTAAATATTCAATGCATTTCTTTTTTTTTTATTTTTTTAATGTTTATTTATTTTTGAGACAGAGAGAGACAGAGCATGAGCTGAGGAGGGTAGAGAGAGAGAGGGAGACACAGAATCTGAAGCAGGCTCCAGCCTCTGAGCTGTCAGCACAGAGCCTGATGCAGGGCTGGAACTCATGAGCTGTGAGATCATGACCTGAGCTGAAGTTGGACACCCAACCGACTCAGCCACCCAGGAGCCCCTTCAATGCGTTTCTAATTAAAACTCTAGCAAGCCTTTTGTGATAGCTGATAAGCTAATTGTTAAGTCACTGAAGAGCATAGCACCAAGAATAGCCAAGATGTTCTTGGAAAAAAACCAAGTAGGGGATTTGCCTGGTCATGTATTGTGACTGATTATAACCTGTAATTATTAAACAATGAAGTATTGACTCATTGTTTTTTTAAAAAATTCATGTATAGATAAAATATGTAAATCAGCAACAGACCCATGTATTTTTCCAACATAGATATATAAACAAGACTGGCACGGCAGTTTAGGAAACAAAGGATGGGTTAAATAGTAAATGGTACTAGACAATTGCTTATCCATAAGGAATATAAGTGAAAACAAATATTTACTTTAGACCACTGAGTTTTAATATTTGAGGGGCACCTGGGTGACACAGTTGGTAGTGTTCAATTCTTTCTTGATCTCAGCTCAGGTCATGATCTCACAGTTTGTGAGTTCAAGTCCCACTGCACTGATGGTGCAGAGCCTGCTTGGGATTCTGTCTCTTCTTCTCTTTGCCACTTCCCAGCTTGTACTTGCTCTCTCTCTCTCTCTCTCTCTCTCAAACTAAATAAATAAATAATTTTTAAATCTGAGATGGATTAACTACTTAAATGCGAAAGACAAAGGTTTAAAACATTTAGAAGAAAGTACAGGAAAATATCTTTTAGACTTCGGGTACAGAAAGATTTCTCACCCACGATACAAAAAACACAAACCCTAACAGAAAAGAGAGGGAAATTCAATGACATTTAAAAAAAAATCTGTTAGTCAAAATATTCCCTGAAGAAAATGAAAAGACAAAACAAAAAGTAGAAGGAAGGTAGTTCCTTCATGTATAACTGACAAAGAATTAGCATCCAGAATACATAAAGAATGACTACAAATCAATAAAAAGACAATCCAGTAGGGGAAAAAATGGCAGAAGATATGAATAGGGACTTTTTTTTGAGGTTTATTTATTTTGAGAGAAAGAGAGTGAGTGAATGCGTGCACATGAGCAGGGGAGGGTCACAGGGAGCCTGACACAGGGCTCAGTGTCAGGTCTGTGAGATCATGACTTGAGCCAAAACCAAGAGTTGGACACTTAAACAATCAGCCACCCATGGCCCCACGAATAGGCATTTTTCACAGAATTAAAAATATTAATGGCCTTTAAACATATAAGGAAATATTTAGCCCCACTATTAACCAAATAAATACAAATTAAAATTATAACAAGATGCCTACCTCGTACCTATAAAAATGGCAACAATTGAAAAGTCAAAAAAGGGCACCTGGGTGGCTCAGTCAGTTAAGTGTCTGACTCTTAGTTTCAGCTCAAGTCATGATCTTGCAGTTTCGTGGGTTTGAGCCCCCCACTGGGCTTTGGGCTGGCAGCATGGGACCTGCTAGGGATTCCCTCTCTCCTTCTCTCTCTGCCCCTCCCCCACTTGTCTCTGTCTCTCCCAAAATAAAGAAATAAACTTTCAAAAAGTCAAATAATACAAGTTCTGGTGAAGACACAGAGCAAAAGGAGCACTCATAAAAAGCTGGTAGGAGCATAACTCAGGCAACCATTTTGGAAAAGCAATTTGACTTCATGTAGTAAAATTTAACAAACTTGTGCCCTAAGACACGGCAATCCTACTCATATAAGTAGTTGCCTGATTCTACAGCAACACTGTAGAATCACCTGGCCCCATCCTAAGGGATTATGATTTAACTGTTCTGAGGTAGGGCTCGGCTACTGGTATTTTTTTTTTTTTTAAGTTACATAGGTGGTTATACTATTCCTATAGTCAAGGAAGGTCTTTTACTGGAGGTGTTCAAGTTCAGAGTGTCTTCTAAAGGCCATCTGTTCTAAAGTACCATTTAATAGGAATAACTGAATTACAGCCACTATGCCTGTGGGAACTGAGTTGGAAGACAAAGGAGAAAGGAGAGACATGAGAATGTAAGTAGATGAAGCATCTTACATTTCACATGGCTCCCTTCAAGGGTTCAATCCATGCTGGAGGTGTATCTTCATGCTAAATATTGCCACTACATTATTTTTTTTATTAAATAAAGAAATAATATAAAGTTACCAGCACAGGACCAAGCGTAGAGCAAAACATTTGATAAATGTTAACTACCTTCTGTGTAGTTGAACTATTTCCTTTCTAATATCACTATGATGCTTTAAGGAAACTGTGAGGTTCAAGAATATCCTATATTCTGAGTTCAAGCCCTGAGTCAAGAAATGCGATAAATCATGACTCAAAGGTTGGCATATTCCAGAAACGTAAGGTTAGAAAAGATTATCTTTCAATGCTCTAATATTCTAACTATCATTCAAACCATCATATATTCTCCCTACTGATACCCTAGAGACCTAACCTCCAATTCTCCAATTCTCTGCGAGTCCTTGTGTGAACACAATGCTAAGGCAATTAAAGAATACAGCTATACATGAGTACCTCAATTTCAGATTGGAGGTCAATGTCAATCCAGGTGATGACTAAAAAAGTTACCTAGAGACTCATGGTCTCTACTCAGCAGGTAAAGATCATTCCAGTATCTCTTCACCAAACTGAAGGGCTGGGCAGGGACTAAATGGTGGCCTGGCTCTTTGGGAACTTGCCCTTGGGTTGGAGTCGAGACTGTCTCCAGATTGATCTTCCAAAAGGGAGCTCTGTTTCTCTGCATAAAGGAGCATGGTAGGGGGTGGGGGAAAGGAAGAGAGGAGGGGAGAGGCTAAGAATAAAGGCGAGGCAACACTGAGGGATGTTTTCAAGTCCGACTTTATTATTCAGGTTTCTTCAATGCTCCCATGCTCTATTTGTATGCCCCTGCATGGCCTCTGATGACAAAACATGGCCTGACAAAAAAATACTCTCATGAAATGTCAAACCTTTGTTATTTTCCAAATCTATCTGGAAATTTGAGACTAAGTTCTCATTGTCCTAACAGAATTGATGAATCGAATGCATGGCCAGCTGGGTGGGTGTTTAGAAGCTCCCACTCACCAGCCTTGGCAGGTTCATAAAAGATGAAGGGAAAACAAGGAGGGAGGGATATCCTGTTGGCTGCTCCTGTTCTCAATGGAGATCTGAACTTGAATTTGCCTTTTCGTCAATGATCCCAATGAGAGTAGTGTTCTAAGCCTAAAGCCTAAGTATCTATACTTCTGTCAACGGCCAGTGTAACCTGGTGATGCTGCTGTCTGTTGTTCTTTGTCCATGGAGGTTCCCCATAAGGACTCACGATCACACATACCCCGAAAGTATCCAACCTCTCCAAGACTGCAACTCTATCCTATTATTCCCCTGAGATATTGTTATGAGCTTAAGTGTGTCCCTCCAAATTTTATATGTCGGAATCCTAGACCCTGCTTCCTCAGAGTGTGACTGTATTTGGAGATAGGGCCATGAAGGAGGCAAATAAGTCAAAATAGGTCATTAGGATGAGCCCTACTCCGGTATGACTAGTGTCCACAGAAGAAGAGATTAGGACCCTGACAACACAGCAAGAGGACCACGAGAAGGACACAGGGAGAAGGCAGCCCTCTACCAGTCAAGGAGAGAGACCTCAGAAGAAACCAAACCTGCTAACACCTTGCTCTTGGATGTCTAGCCTCCAGAATTGTGAGAAAACAAATTGCTGTTGTTTAAGCCACTGGTCTGTGGTATTTTGTTATAACAGCCTGAGCACATCAATACAGACGTCGTCTATCCTTTCCAGTATCCAACAGGGAAAGCTCCCTAGAAATTCTCTTCTGGCCCCAAGAGGAAAAGCAAAGGAACCAGAAAATCCTGGACAAGTGATAGCTGCTTTAATGGCTCTGACTCTTGATTTTGAAGAAGTGCTGATCCTTTTGTGAGACAAGTGTTTGACTCGGACTCTAAGTGCAACAGTTCACAGATACTTAATTGGGCATCTAGGACACCACCGGACACAAGTTCCCTATCTTTGGGAAGCCTCATGCATTGTAAAGAACACAGGCTTGGAGTCCAAAGCCTCTCTTTGAAATTCCATTTCTGCCACTGTATAGCTGTGTCAACTTGGGTAAGTTACTTAACTTCTCGAATCTTAGTTCTCTCATCTGTAAAATAGCAATAATAATTTCTTGAATAATACTTGTAATTTGTGTGAGGATTAGAAACAGTAACTGTAAAAATTCACCTACTTTTTGGCAGAGGAATTGGTACAATAAATAGTAGCTGTTATAAAAATAGTTATGATTATTTTAAAACAATCTAGCACTGAGCCTGACACCTGCTAAGGTCCAACACAAATTAACCGTTACACTCCTCTTTCCTTCAAGTAAGTTACATGTGAGAGTGCAAGGACTTTAAGATATCTGCAATGCAACCTAAACTTTTAGAGTCTTCTCGTTTTTTTTTTTTTTTTTTAATTTTTTTTTTCAACGTTTATTTATTTTTGGGACAGAGAGAGACAGAGCATGAACGGGGGAGGGGCAGAGAGAGAGGGAGACACAGAATCGGAAACAGGCTCCAGGCTCTGAGCCATCAGCCCAGAGCCCGACGCGGGGCTCGAACTCACAGACCGTGAGATCGTGACCTGGCTGAAGTCGGACGCTTAACCGACTGTGCCACCCAGGCGCCCCTAGAGTCTTCTCGTTTTTATGCGGAAATTTGTTTCATCTGCAAACTGACATTTTGGTTCCTTTTTCCTAATCTTTATACATTTGCTATTTTTCCCTGCTTTACCATTTGCGTTGAACCAGTTACCAGGCATTTTTGTCTTGCTCCTGATTTTAAACAGAATGGTATTTTTAACATTTTGCCATTAAGTATCAAGTTTGTTGTAAGGTTTTTTGCAGCTACTCTTAAACAGGTTCAGGAAATTTGCTTTCTTAGCCATACGTATTTACCATGAATGGTTGTTGGCTTTTATCAAATGTTTTTCCTACATGAAGGTGACCATATTTTTGTTTACTGCAAACTTTAAAATGGTGAATTACAATAATATTTTTTCTGATGTTCAACTCATCTCGCATTTTGAAAAACATCTAACTAGGTTGTAACTTATAATATTTTGTTAATATATTTCTAGATTCAGTTTGTCAACATTTTCATTTAGCATTTCAGATCTATGTTCATGAGTGAAACCGCTGTGTAATTTTTCTTTCTCATCCGTCCTTGTCTAGTTTCAACACCAGGTTTTTACTCACGTTAAAAGATAAATTGAGAGGTTATTCCTCCTTTTATGTTATCTGAAAGGAATTACTTGTTCCTTGGATAATCGGCAGAATGCACCCCTAAAATTATTGGAGCTAATGTTTTCTTTGTAGATTTTAAATAATTTTTTCAATTCCTTTAATAGTTACCAGATCATTTAGACTTGTTTTTGTCTCTTCTCGAGTATGTTTTAATATACTATTTTTAAGAAATTTATATATTTCTCCTAATTTTTCAAATTTGATGGCATATCAGTTCTACACACTATTATCTTTTTAATAAATATACATCTGTGGTTTTATTTCTTTTCTCATTCCATTTATTCTTTATTTCTTCTACTCATCACTTCTGTCAAAAGCTTATCAGTTTTATTAAGCCTTTTAAAGATATGACATTTGTCTTCTTGCACTAGCAGGAACACATTTGTTCATTGTGGTGTTCCCAGAAGCTAGAATCATGTCTGGCATTCAGTAAGTATTGGTTGAATTAAAAAACAAAAACAAAAACAAAAACAAAAAAAACAATGCATGAAAAAAGCATAAGAAAGAATGTGGATAAGACCAAGTTTTAACAAATTTCTGTAGCAGAAAACAGTAACAACCAAATGCATGGATCTTCTTTTTAAAAAAAAGAAAAAGTAAGTAATAGCTTAAGAGAATGTCCTTCAACCCTTGCCTGATTCTGAACCCCTTAGGGGATATAGAGATCTTTAAAGATCTCAAACTCATAATAACTTCCTTACGAGTCCCAGTGGTTTTAATGAAGGCAGCTTTATCTTAAGCAACACAAGATAGGCTCTGGCATTAGAAACTTATGTGAGATCATAAATTTGCCAATTTTTCTTCAATGCCATACATGTTAGTATTTGATCTTATGACAAAACCAATGAACAAAGAAAAGAAGAGACAAAGAAAAAACCAGACCCTTAAATACAGAGAACAAACTGGTGGTTGCCAGAGGGGAGGTGGGGGAATGGAGTAGGGGTAAAATAGGTGAAGGGGATTCAAAGCACATGCATCCTGATGAGCACTGAGAAATGTATAGAATTGTTGAATCACTTTATTGTATGCCTGAAACTAGTATAACACTGTATGTTAATTATACTTGATTAACATGTTAGGACATGTAGTACTTACTGATCCATCACTATTTTTCATTTTCTTTTTTAAAAAATTGTTTACTCTTTCTTTATTTTTGAGAGAGAGACAGAGAGACAGAGCGTGAGCAGGGGAGGGGCAGAGAGAGGAAGACACAGAACTCGAAGCAGGCTCCAGGCTCTGAGCGGTCAGCACAGAGCCCGACGCGGGGCTCAAACTCACTGACGGCGAGATCATGACCTGAGCCGAAGCGGACGCCCAATCGACCGAGCTACCCAGGCGCCCCGCTATTTTTCATTTTCTAAACTGATGTTGCCGATACGCTGGAAATAAAGGGGCCTTATAAATGCAGAGACACAGAGGAAATGTTGAAAGGACAGTGCGTTTTGCACACGTTGCTTAACGCAGTCCTTCAGACACCAGGTTGTCAAATAGAGAAGTGTATGTCGTGGAGGAACTCTCTAGAGATCAGCAATTCTAAACTCTACGTCTTTGCTTCTACACCACATTGAGTAAGGAGCCATGAGAAAAGAAATCAGTTTCCTGAACTTAACCCACCGCTCCCTACACGCTCATTTAGTCTTTGTATTTACTAGGAGTTTTCCAGCCCTGAGCTATCTAAGAATCTGACTGAGAGTGTGACTCCATAACTGTACACAGGACAACTTTGGAGGTTAGCTTGAGGATGTGCTGGCCCAAGCCAGTCTCTGTAAATCCTAACAAATCCTTATGTCAAATTCTTTTACCATCATTTACAAATTTCTCCCAAAGTAAAGTACTGAGAACAAACGTCAGGTAATCAGTCCTTTAGCACTGGCATTAGGACACCAGACTAGAAGTTGAAGGGTCCGTTCTAAAGACAATGCCAGACAACCTGGCAGAGTGACCGTGATGCAGCCATGCGTGAGCACTTCGATTGAGGAAAATAGGCCAGAAGTAGCCCCATCTCTGCTAATGGTCTGGGCCTGGCCAAGGAGGTGGCTGAAATCCCTGAAGAAAAGGCCCAGCTCTCATATAACTCAGGTCCTATGTATAATGCAGGGTAGATATGCATAGGCTGTGGGTGGTAGCTGAACATACTTAGAAGAAAGTATAATGTCCTGAAAAACTTTAAAGATCAAGCGCATTTTAATTTTTATTTATTTTCTAAGTTTAGTTATTTATTTTGAGACAGCACCAGTGAGGATGGGCAGACAGAGGGAGAGATCATCTCAAGCAGACCCCGTGCTGTCAGCGCAGACCCCGACGTGGGGCTCAATCTCACGAACCATGAGATCATGATCTGAGTGGAAACCAAGAGTTGGACACTTAACCAATTGAGCCACCCAGGCACCTTAGGGCATTTTTAAGTATACTAAAAGGAATCATTTAAAAAAAATTATAAGTGCAAAAAAAAAATGATAAAAAATTGTAAGTGCTAGAGATAAGCATTCTGTGTTTGGAGTGATAGATACATGACACAGTTTTGCATGTTAACATTACAATTCTATGCCAGCACCTGCAACACAATAGCTGCTCCATTAATGGCTTTAGGTAAGTGGTGTAAAGAGCAGTGGTCTGGAGTCTGAAACCCTGGATTCTAATCCTGACTCTATCAGTAACCGGCTACGTTATCTTGTGGTCTGGCCTGTGTTACCTTCTTTGGGTCTCAGAGTTTTCCTCTGTGAAACAGAAGATAAACTGAATGGTCGTAAGATCGCTTCCCATTTGAAATGTCTACGTCTCAATTATCGGTGCTACGTGAAGACCAGGTCCCTGGTCCCCAGTGAGAATGTCCTCTCAAGGAATCACAGGGCAGGATCACAAAGGCAAGGAAGGGAATGAGGTTTTCAGCCAACGGAGGCTAGGCTAGTCTAACATGGCTGGAGCACTGTGCTGTCGCAAGATGAGACGGGAGGGGAGAATGTGGCTAAGTCCGAAAATACTCAGAGTGTGAGGGGCAAAGACTTGCAGCTGAAGATGGGCCAGAAGGAGTCAAGCTCATCCTTTGGAAAAATCAAGCCTCTAATATTGTGAATAGCGACATCATCCTGTTTTTACAGGGCAGTGGATTTCCACCCTTGCTTCACACACTTAGTTAAACGTATATATATACATATTATCCATTTGTTTGTTGTGTGTTTGAAAGTGTATGTATTTATTTTGAGACAGAGAGAGAGACACAAGCAGCTCAGGGGCAGAAAGAGAGGGCAGACAGAATCCCAAGCATGATCCACGTTGTCAGCACAGAGCCCTAGGCAAGGGCTCTGTCTCCCAAATCGCGAGATCACGACCTGAGCTGAGATCAGAAGTCATATGCTTAACCAACTAAGCCACCCAGACACTGCTCATTCATTAATTTAAAGAGAAGTGCCAGGGGCACCTGGGTGGCTCAGTCTTTTAAGCGTCTGGTGTCGGCTCAGGTCTTGATCTCATGGTTCGTGGGTTTGAGCCCCACATTGGGCTCTGTGCTGACAGCTCAGAGCCTGGAGCCTGCTTCCGATTCTGCGTCTCCCTCTCTCTCTGCCCCTCCCTCACTCGTGCTCTGTCTCTCTCTGTCTCTCAAAAATAAATAAGCATTAAAAAAATAATAAACAAATAAATAGAAGTGCCTGGATCCTGCCATTAGACATCTTGATTCAGTGGAACTGGGGGGAGGACTGACATCAGAATTGTTTTTAACCCCTGTGGTGATGCCATCATCTGAGGAAAATCATTTGTTTGGTGCTTTACAGTTCACGTACCTTTCAGGGATAGACTTCCATCCTCACAGCCAATGTATAAAGTG